TTCAGCATTATTATTGAGGAAGCAAGTTAATGTAGCTCCAAAAAAAATGCATTCTTCCATCTTCATTTAGCCCAGAAGTTGACTTGCTATCTTGGCCAAGCCACTCTAGCCATGTGGATCCATGCCACAGTTATCTTGAGGCAAGACTGCTAAAACGTACTTTGCATAGTTTTGTTGTTGGTCAGCTTGGGAACTCCACTTGCTTGGTACGGAATGGTACAGATGGGTTACTATGTGAAGCTAGGTGAAATACATATATCACACCAATTCTGCAGTCACTGCAGTTACCAAATTGAAGGTATTAGTTTTCTCCTATAGAGCCATTTAATGGCCTTGAAACAGTATTCCTGTAGGACCGCATCTCTCACCATGCTCTGCCATGACAGCTTCACTCTGAGCAAAGCAACTGAGGCTACCAGCTTGCAACTGAACTCAAACTATGGTTTATACTGGATTCAGCATTATTATTGAGGAAGCAAGTTAATGTAGCTCCAAAAAAAAATGCATTCTTCCATCTTCATTTAGCCCAGAAGTTGACTTGCTATCTTGGCCAAGCCACTCTAGCCATGTGGATCCATGCCACAGTTATCTTGAGGCAAGACTGCTAAAACGTACTTTGCATAGTTTTGTTGTTGGTCAGCTTGGGAACTCCACTTGGTACAGAATGGTACAGATGGGTTACTATGTGAAGCTAGGTGTAGTACATATATCACACCAATTCTGCAGTCACTGCAGTTACCAAATTGAAGGTATTAGTTTTCTCCTATAGAGCCATTTAATGGCCTTGAACCAGTATTCCTGTAGGACCGCATCTCTCACCATGCTCTGCCATGACAGCTTCACTCTGAGCAAAGCAACTGAGGCTACCAGCTTGCAACTGACTAGGACTTACATGAGCATTCTCTGTGGTGGTTCCCACCTTGTAGAACAGACTGCTTATCATTCCACAGAATGTGCAAAACAAATACTCAGGAGGAAATTATTATAAGGTTATTAGAACTGCAATATAAAGGAATAGTCCACAATGATACTTTTAAAAAGGAATAGGATTATAGTCTATGCTTTTACTGCATTGTCTTCTAAGTTTGTAACCTACTTTCTACACTGTTTATGGCAGGTCATCTTAATGGCAAGTAACTTGTTAACCCTGGTCCTACTGCATTACTCTATTGGATATTTTATGCTGTCTGATTGAATTATTTCTGTATTTTGTAATTCATCTCTGAGAACGAAAGGCAGGCTATAAACAAAGTAAATAAGTTAATCAATTAAACTCCCACACTGTATTCACACCAATACTGAAAGAGTTTCCAAAGGATGCTGGTGTACAAAGCTCTATGTGCAAACAATAAAAACTTGCTGTTTGCCTAAAATCACTTTATTTGCTAGACATGCAGATTTTAATATGTCTGATATATTGACAGCCCTGATCTGGATCGCCCAGGCTACCCAAATCTTATCAGATCACAGAAGCAAAGTAGGGCAGGTGTGGTCAGTATTTGGAAGGGAGACCACCATGGAATACCAGGGTTGCTACGCCGAGGCAGGCAATGGCAAACCACTGCTGAATGTCTCTTGCTTTCAAAACCCTATAGGGTTGCTGTAAATTGGCTGTGACTTGACAGCAGAACATATATACACACAGACACACACAGAGTTGATTGTGTGGCAGAATGTTTAGTGCTTTGATAGGGGATGGAATATCAAACTTTAATGAGATCAAAGATACCTGCTCCAGAATTTGCTTGGTGTGTGCTGCAGAGAAACAAAGGTATACATGGAGCCTTTTTACTTTTGCGAAACTAATATGAGTTCTTTATTGTAAGGAACTTCATTCTAGACAGGACAGAACAGAGACAGGATTCTAATATAGTCTAACCAGCGAGGATGGATGGAGATCCAGGAGGCATGTCCTGTCCTCAAAGTGCCAAGATGGAGAAGTGTGTGGAGAGAAGGTATCTACAGGAAGGCAGGAAGATTCTCTGAGAGTAGCAAACTGCATATCAAAGGGATAGCATCAGAGCAGTAGAAAGGAAGGATGCTCAGGGTCCTGACCTGTGTATCTGTTTATAGCCCCCTCTGAAATCTAAGGCTATCAAGAAGAAGAAGAAGAAGAAGAAGAAGAAGAAGAAGAAGAAGAAGAAGAAGAAGAAGAAGAAGAAGAAGAAGAAGAAGAAGAAGAAGAAGAAGAAGAAGAAGAAG